TTCCTACACCAAACTCTCATTCACTTCACAGTTAATAAACAAATACGGAATAAAATATACTGCAAGAAGGACAACAGAATAAAACAACAGAGAACCATTTGAATGGAAAACAAAGAGAATAAGGATGGAACCACGTTACAAGTCAAGATTAAGTGGTTTCTCTGAAAGTCACAAGCACTGCACTGTTATATGTTTCGACCAACTTCAATTGTAAATTGTAAACGNTCAGCCTTACGCGCCGGCCGCGCTTTATTCCCCAGGAAAATGATTTAATTAATTCCTGGTACTCATTTCTGTTAGATGGTAGTAAACCCCAGGGTCTAGGGCGGCTAGAAGGATTTGGTCAACTGAAAAATCCAATGACCTCATCGGGACTTGAACCCGCTACCTTCCGGCTTGTAGCATAGCCCCTCAACCACTACGCTACCACGTGCCCCAACAGAAATGAGTACCAGGAATTAATTAAATCATTTTCCTGGGGAATAAAGCGCGGCCGGCGCGTAAGGCTGACAACCTTACCGCCATCTATGAGCCGATTGTCTAGATAATGTGGTACCCTCAACGTTTCACAACCCTATGGGCCTTCGCGGCCTGGTTCAGGGATAGCTTTACTTTTTTTTTTTACTTACTAATCGGAACCAAACCGTATACAAACTAATATCTATCTGACTTGTGGAAGTGAGGTCTCATCTTGCAGTCCACGGTTTTTTTTCCTTCATCGTCTACTTTAGACATCTAGCCCCACGCCTTATGTTTCTCCTTTTCTTTCCGGAAACAATGAATGATAACGACTGCTCTCCAATGCTGTTCAAGAAATGTTCTAGGTATTTCAGTACAGACGAACCGAAACTTGCAGCATCCGATTAATTTCTAATGGCCTTTGTCCTGAGCGAGAGAGAAGCAAAGTAAAAGCAAGAAACTGAACTCCAACACGGGCAGCAAAGAAGTAGATCTGGTTGGAACTGTTAATTATCATTGGATTTATTAATTCAGTGTTGCGTAGGATGTCTCTTACCGGGCCAACAATCCTCTGACTGACTACCATCGCCCTTCATATGCTACGAATCTGCAGTTTAATACTTAGCACGGGCTATATTTAAAAAGATGTATCTTCAGACTTGTTAGTGTCACCGTGCTATGGACATGAGATTCCGTACTTGGATTGTTAGAAGTACGTATAAGGCAGGTTCGCTCAGGGCAGTGGCAGAAGAAATATTAAAATATAAGTTAGATTTAGAGGGAGTACAGGAGGTCACGGGAGAATATACATTTTTCTATGGAAAGGGGAATGAAAATCATGAATTAGGTACAGGCTGTTTCGTACATAAGAGAATCGTTATCAGCAGTTAAGAAGGTAGAGTTCGTTAGTGATAGGATATCATATATAATACTAAAAGGTCGCTGGTGAGATATCATTGTTATGAATGTCCACGCCCCAACAGAAGATAAAATTGATGACATAAAGGACAGGTTCTATGAAGAACTAGAACATCTTGACCGTGTCTCACGGTGTTGTCGCTTGCAGATTTACTTATACTTCTTCAACCCTGAAGATGGAGGCGATACGTTCCTCCGAAACGTCGGTTAACACCACATATACACGGTGCCAAATCCCAGAAGATTGCTTTCTTCATGTATTTGATGAATTCCCAAAGTACCATATGAAAATTTTGTTAGGAGATTTCAATGCCAAAGTAGGAAGAGAAGACATTTTCAAACCAACAATTGGGAATGAGAGCTTGCATGAAATTAATGATGATAATGGAGTTAGAGCAGTAAACTCCCCCACATCGAAAAAGCTAACTGTCAAAAGTACAATGGTCCCGCATCATAACATTCATAAATTTACTTTGAACATTTCCTGATGAGAAGAGACACAATCAAATCGACCATATTTTGATAAACAGGAGACGGCATTCAAGTATACTTGATGTCCGATCATTCAGGGCAGCAGATTGTGATACTGACCACTACCTGGTGGTGGCAAAGGTTAGGGAAAGACTGGCAGTGAGCAAACAAAAACGCACAATGTTCATATGGAGAGGTTCAATCTCAAGAAATTAAATGACGTAGAGGGTAAATAGCAGTATCGTGCTGAAATCTCAAACAGGTTCGCGGCTTTGAAAACTTGGACAGTGAGGTAGATGTTAATAAAGATTGGCAAACTATTAGAGAGAATATCAAAATTTCTGCCAAGGACAGTCTAGGATATTATGAACTGAAGAAGCATAAGCCATGGTTCGATGAAGGATACTCAAAATTATTAGACCTAAGAAAACAAGCCAATTTGCAATGGTTACAGGATCCAAGCGAAAAAAAAGGGATAATCTGAAAAATATAAGACGTGAAACAAGCAGGCATTTCAGGAAAAAAAGAGGGAATATCTGAAAGCTAAAATTGATGAGCTCGCAAAAGAACAGTAAGAACAAGAACATTAGAGACCTGTATAGAGGAATAGATGACTTTAACAGGGGTTACCAACCTAGAAGTAACTTAGTGAAGGATGAGAATGGTGATCTGCTTGCAGAATCCCACAACATTTTGAACAGGTGGAAGAACCACTACTCTCAGTTATTGAATGTACATAGGGTCAGCGATGCTAGGAAGATACAAATACATATAGCTGAGCCGTTAATACCTGATCATAGTCCTCTTGAGGTTGAAAATGCTATTGGAAAATTGAAAAAAATATAAATCGCCAGGTAGTGATCAAATTCCGGTAGAATTTATTCAAGCAGGATGCAAAAATTACGTTCTGAGATCCATAAGCTAATTACTTCTATTTGGCATAAGGAAAAATTGCCTGAACAGTGGAAGGGGTCTATTACTGTACCAGTTCACAACAAGGGTGATAAAACTGCCTCTTGTAATTATCGGGGGATATCACTGCTATCAACGTCATATAAAATTTTATTCAATATTCTTCTCTCAAGGTTAAGTCCATATATAGATGAACTTATTGGGGATCATCAGTGTGGGTTCCGACGTAACAGATCAACTACAGATCAAATCTTTTGCATTTGTCAGATATTGGAGAAAAATGGGAGTGCAATGAGACACTAGACCAGCTATTTGTAGACTTCAAGAAAGCCTATGATACAGTAAGGAGGGAAGTATTGTACAATATTCTGATAGAGTTTGGAATACCCATGAAATTAGTTAGGTTGATTAAAATGTGTTGAAACGAAACGTATAGTTATGTCCACATAGGTAAACAGTTGTCTGATAAATTTTCTATCCAGAATGGTCTAAAACAAGGAGATGCTTTATCGCCACTCCTTTTTAACTTTTCTTTAGAATATGCCATTAGGAAGGTCCAGGAAAACCAGGTTGGCTGAAATTAAGCGGGACACATCGGCTGTTGGTCTACGCCGATGATGTGAATCAACTGGGTGATAATATGGTTACCATAAACAAAAAACACACTTACTTAGTTACTTATGGAGCTGAACCCTTCTTGAGGAGAAGCCAAATCTGCAGCTACACAAGAATTTCCCAGCATTTTATAGAACCCGAAGGTTTATTATCGTGTTCACAAGAACCCTCCACTGGTCCCTATCCTGAGCCAGCTCAATCCAATCTATACCATCCCATCCAATCTCTCCAAGACTAAGGGTGTTTGAGAACAGGGTGCTGAGGAGAATATTTGGACCGAAGAGAGATGAAGTGACAGGAATTTGGAGAAAACTGCATAATGAGGAGCTTCATAACTTGTACTCTTCTCCAAGTATAATTAGAATGATCAAGTCAAGGAGGATGAGGTGGGCAGGGCATGTAGCACGAATGGGGGAAACAAGGAATGTGTATAGGATATTGGTGGGAAAGCCAGAAGGAAAGAGACCACTGGGAAGACCAAGGCGTAGGTGGGTGGACAATATTAAAATGGATCTTAGAGAGATAGGATGGGATGGTATTGATTGGACTGGTCTGGCTCAGGATAGGGAGCAGTGGAGGGCTCTTGTGAACACGGTGATGAACCTTCGGGTTCCATAAAATTCTGCAGATTTGGTGGCTCCTCAAGAAAGGCTCAGCTCCATAAGTAAGTAACTGTCACCGCGCTGAATATTCCAAAATCCATGTTTGTTGTATGCAATTATCACGAATCTAACACTCCTCCCAAGAGGCAAGTTTCTGAAAGTGGTCTCGACAAGTTCCACAGGAAACAAATGCTCCAAGGCCTCAAGGTCTTAAAAGAACAAGAATACGATTAACAATATCTGCAAATATGAATTTATGTTGATTTAAATTAGTCATGGCTCATTCCGTATGTTCAATGGAAAACATGACTTACAGATTTCGATATCTGAATGAGACGAAATATTCGGCCTGCGCGTCTCAGACGTCCTTTACTTGCAAACAAGTTATATTAGAGTGGCGGAAAAATTACGTATAAAACAAAGCATTTATTAGGTAGGCGGCAGAGGGCGTCAGTGCTGAGGCATACCGAGTCAGAACTCGAAGACTTATAGTGTGTAATACTGGGGAAAGTGTAACGTGGAAACAGAAAAGGGCCGTGTGCCATTACGAAGCTGTTACTGGAGGGCTACTGGTAACCGCAGAATGTAAATATATCTAGACATGAAGGCCGACACGACGGCTGACGGGATGTTGACTCATGGGAGACATACTGGGATGCAAATCAAGGGCATTAGAGGCTTACTGGAGGTTACAATCAATGGAGTTAAATTCAATCACCGAATTAGCAAACGATTTTAAGCAAATGTTCCAATGCCACCTTCCGTATTCTATTTGTCTTTTTTATTCGACTGCATTGCAGCCAGTTTCTTTGGTACTCTTAAAATTCACTGATAATTTATGCGACAATGTTCTCTTACGTATACACTTAATTTGTGATATAGCCTACTTCGTTTACAGGCAGCTCCCTTCAAGGGGAGGGTGGAGGAGGTGGGGAATTTTAGAATACCAGGGATGGAAGAAGGCCAGGGACCACCACCTCAACTTGGCAGACAAAGTGGGGTAGTCGGTAAGGCGAAGCTTACCTCGGTTCCCTGCACCTTCAGCTTCATGTGGTCTTCTCGCGTCGTCTTGCCGTCTTTCCGCTTCTTCCAGCAGTACCCATCCCGACGGTATCTCACCTTCTTGCGGCTGTATAACAACATGGAGCCGCTCTTCGGCCTGAAACATCAGGAAAGCGATGAGACAGTAGGATCAGTGTGAGGGAGATGACAAATTCTGGGACAATCTTGCTAAGCCTATTTTCCTTCAAATACTTCAGTATATTCTGTGAGACTATCATAATTTAAAATGTAATAGCCATATAGTTTAGAGACCCACTGGTACTGATTTCCACTGTCATTAATAATGTAAGCATTTTAAACTGCAGTATGTAAAAGGTAATTCAAAGGTAAATTAGGATTCGACGCTTCCTCCCTATAACCGTACATGCTATCTAAATTTAACTCAGACACTCAGGAAGACTCAATGAGAAATCAGCCCACTGTAACGAAAAGTAAGAGAAATGCGGGAAAACATCCATGCCAAAAATAGGATCCAACTCTGCTACTCCAGCGTATAAGTGGTTTCAGAAGCCTTATTTAAATCTAACAAGGACCAATGGCCATACACTTCAAACCAAAAAGTCTAGAAATAAGTACTGGTAACGTTTTTGCTGTGTTAAACGAGATTATCCTGTCACCTAAGACTGGCTCCATAGAATGGGGTCCTTCTGAGGAAAATAGTGGTCACTCAGCTGATCAAGGAGTTCTCTGCCATTTTCATGATCCCAGAAGGTCCATTATCGCGTTCCAAAGATCTATCCAATGAATTCTATCAAGGATCACATGAAACCAGGACAAGCCATCATACCTCGCATCCTCCAAGACGCATTGTTGTATTACCCTCCTACCCAAGCCTACGTCTCGCAAGTCTTCACACTAGAACTGTGTGCCTGCTGCATAATCTCCTGAGCTGTTTCTTATCAGGAATGTTTTGAACGGCAAGGACCTTCAGATCTGGATTCACAGCGAACCTTTAGTTGCTTATTTAACGACTCTGTCATGTCGGGGATATACAGCGTCGCAACACTATCATACAGCTCTGGTCTTAATGTCTCAAAACGGAACGAAGCAAATATACTTCCTCAGTCGGAACAGATGTTTTTGACAGATTAGGCCTAGTAGCGACTGCACTCAGCTCCGAGGAAGTTGAACGTGTGTGTATGTTTGGGGAAGGTGGAAAGACGAGCTTAGAAGTTCAAGAAATTACTCTACACAATCTGAACAGTCGCTTAACTTGATAGCCCAGAGCTGAAAACTTGAACCAGTTTCCGGAAGTCGAGTTCCATGTTGGTTAGGACTGTAAGCGCAGAACAGAACGAGGACAGACAAGGTGGAAGAACAAGAAGAGGTACGTTCCTCTTTTTGTTCTACGAAATGTTCTCGTTTCTCACAACAAACGCTGCTAGTATATATATGTACGTATAAGATAGAAAGCAGAACAAATATTGCATATATACTCTCACAAGACGAGGAATACACTTAAGGTTATTCATTGTTTCTGAAGATTTATGACGTAATTCAATTCAAAATTTGCTGCGAAGTTACTTTCAAACTACAAGAAAATGTACAATTCAACATAGTTGTATGGTGTCAAAAGAAGAAAAGACTTTGAAGTTAGTATGGCGGTTGAAGACAATAGCCGTTTTGCTGACCATGTTCTTTCAAGTTCTCTTCCTCTGCTTCTCCTTCTGTGATATACTTATTACGTGACTACGTGTGCTTTCAATAATGCACAAAGTGATCAGCCAGTCTTTCATTCCTTATCAATAGAATAACGCATACAGCGATCACTGTGCGGTGAAGTGATATGAGGAAGTGAATGATAGAATAGAATGTGTAATGGCATATCATTTCACTTTTTAACACGAATCTAGCTGTTATAAGTATAATTAGTGTCAGTTGATTACAGTTTACAAACGTGAACTTTTCAGGTAACGGCTTCGAAAAATATTTCAATGTATTTAATTTAAAAAGACTAGAAAGGACGAGTTTTTACACTAATTCCATCCCCTTCCACTGGAAAACGGGAATATAAACGTATACGCTTCATCAATACGACTGTCAAACCAATAAAGAGCTTCAATACTAAATACGGTCTATTTAAAGAAAACCCAGGAAAAAAATAATAGATTTCGCTCGTCTATAGGACAGCCCGTTTCCGATTTACGATAAACCCGGACTTTAGACATTAACACACTGACACTTCCAAATCGACAACCGATATCGTACTGCAGACATTCGATATTCCGAGATTTTTCACCACCCCGAGTCTAGTTTCTTCAGCGTATGTTCGGCCGATGTCAAACTGCGCGGTGTGACTTGTCCGCGCTGTCACGCTGTCATCGCTAAGTTATACTCGCAGATTTAGCATCGATGTTATCCATTTATTGATTGTTTTAAGTGTTAAAATGTGTACTATACAATTTATAACACTCACTGATCATTATACTACGAATTTATAGCCTACATACGTCTTGGTATCTGTTTTCTTCTGCAAGCTCCAGAAATGTTCCTCAGTTTACAAGTTGTTACAAGGATCGGAACACTGACATTCGACTTACAACTAGGTTTTCAGGAACGCTTTACAGTTGTAAGCTGGGACAGCCTGTATGTCTATGTGCAACGTGTATCTCCGAATTACAATTCACAGAATATTATTTGCACAGATGTATTAAGTTTCAAGCCGATCACAGTGGCCGAGCGGTCTGAGGCATGAATTGTCTTCGCTCGTTCGAACATTGAGATAGTGGGTTCGAATCCCACTCAAGGCACGGATGTTTGTCTGCGTTTATTCTGTATTTGTGTTGTCCTGTATCAGGTAGGGGCCTTGTGACGGGCCGATCGCCCGTTCGAGGAGTCCTACCGACTGCCTAAGATTAAGTAACTGAAGTGAAACGAAGCGTTTCATGGATGTCCTATTCTCCAAGTGGGGACAGTAGGAGAGAGACAGATAGATAGATAGACAGACAGACAGATAGATAAATAGATAGATAAAGTTTCAACAGAAAATCGGAGAGCTTAATGTAAGATCTGGTGTACAGTTCTCGTAAGAACACTCACAGCGGAGACTAGCTTAGCCAATGTCCCCAGGCAACCAGACGTGACGAAACTAACGAAACAATAAGAACAAAGTTCGCTGGTCAAAGTCGTTCCCATTCGCTATGCTGCAATTTTCAGCACCCTCCGGGAACTCGACGAACTGACAGAAACAAGGGCAGAATATTTATTGGCTGCATCAACTGAATCTCGTAGCAAGCAAACGTTGGTTGGTTCCAAAGACGAGTTATTTCTTTCACAAACAAGAAAACAAAAATCAAGGATTAGTCACACGTTTTAAAGTCCGTATACATAAGAAATTGTCGGTTGTTTCCTGTTCAGAATTGCCTGAAACAAGGAGATGTTCTATTGCCATTTCTTTTCAATTTTGCTTTAGAATAAGGCATTACGAAGTTCCAAAGAAATAGGACGGACTGAATGGGCCACATCAAATTCTGGGGTACACTGATATTAATTTATTGGATGAAAAAATACAAAAAATGCCGTGAATGGAAATACGGACGCTCTACTAGATGCCGAGTAAGGAGGTTCGTATAAGAGCAAATGCACACAAAACTTAAACATGTGTTAATATTTGGTCTTCAGAATGAAGGAAACTCCCATAAGATAAAGATGGCCAATAAATCTTTGTAAATGTAGCAAAGTTCCAAAAGTTGGAAAGGACATTAAAAAATGAAAACCGTATTTGTGGCAAAATTAGGAGCAGATTATATCTGGGGAGTACTTCCTGCCATTTAGTTCAAAATATCTTTTCTTCCGGTCTGTTATCTAACAACATAAAGATTAAATATGTAGAACTATAACTTTACCGTTTGTTTTATGCGGATTCAAGGTTTTCGTCTCTCGCATTAAGGGAAAACCACAAATTGAGGGGGTCTGAGAGCAGTAAAAAAAAGTAAAGGTAGCCCTGTAACAGGCCTTGGAGTCCATAGGATTGTGAGATGTTGAGGTTCCAACGTTTTCCAGACAATCGGCTCATACATGGCGGCAAGGTTGTCAGCCCTACGCGTCGGCCGCCCTTTACGCCCAAGAATATCCCTGGTACTCATTTATGTTAGAGGCTGAGTCGACCCTAGGACCGCAGTGCGGATGAAAGGATTAGATAAATTGAAAAAAAAATCAATGACCTCATCGGGATTCGATCCCGCGATTTTCCGCTTGTAGCATAGTGCCTCAACCAACTACGCTACCGCGTTCCCCCGGTCTGAGAGCAGGTAAAAAAGTAAAGTTGTCCCTGTAGTTAATTAATTAAGCAGTACGCCATGGATACATATGGTGGAGTGGAGGTATAGCTCCGCCATTCTTGACCTCGGCACTAGATGGTGAGTGGCCAGCTTAACGTCCCGACCGCTTTGCTGAGGAGGAACCTGCATAATGAGCTTCATAATTGTTACTCCTTGACAGATATAATTACGATGAACAATTAAAAAAAATACGTGAGCAGGACATGTAGCATACGTCGGACAGAAGTGAAATGCATACTAAGTTTTGGCAGAAAATACTGAAGGAAAGAGACCACTTGGAAGACCAAGACGCAGATAGGAGAATATTACAATGGAACTAAAAACAAAATTGGAGAGCAAGGACTGAATTCATTTGGCTCAGGGCCAGGATCAATGGTGGGTTCTTGGAAACATGGTAATGAAACTTCGGGTTCCATAAAATGCTAGGAAGTTACAGGCTGAGAATGTAAGCACAACAGACCATTGAAGGTNTGTACTGCGATGTGGAAAGCAAATGGAAAAACTACCACATTATCACTTTTCCTGGATAGTCTCTTTCCAAAAACAGAAGATCGCATTAAGTGGAGGAACTGTTTTGGAAGAGGCTGTGGACCTGTCGTCTGACAGATTACTGATGGATGGATGGATTTTACATGACATGTCATCAAAATCCGGGTACCTTCACCATAGGCTNGGTCTAAGGCATGCACTGTCTTCGCTCGCTTGGAAGCCGGGATCGTGGGTTCGAATCCCACTCAGGGCATGGATGTTTGTGTGCGTTTTTCTGTGTTTGTCTACAGGTAGAGGCCTTGCGACGAGCTGATCACTCGCCCAAGGAGTCCTACCGTATGTGTAAGATCTTGTAAACCGAAGTGAACGGAGTTCATGGAGGTAGGCCTAGGCCCAAATTGGGGGCTGTAGCGCCACAGAAAAAAAAAATCTTCTGGTATAGTGTAGTCCGCTGAAAGTCAACCAACGTTTCGGAGGAACATGAAGATGGATGCCACATCTTCTGAAACGTCAGTTGAATTTCAACGACTGCACGTGCGTTATATCCAAGAAGACAATTTTTTTCATAACCATCGCTGTGAGAACCTCAGGTCCTGTAACACATTTACGAAACTAAGCTGGCAGTACCTCAGACTATACATTCATTCATTCATCAGTAATCTGTCAGACGACAGGTCCACAGTCTCTTCCAAAACAGTTCCTCCACTTAATGCGATCTTCTGTTTTTGGAAAGAGACTATCCAGGAAAAGTGATAATGTGGTAGTTTTTCCATTTGCTTTCCACATCGCAGTACAACAGCCGTTCAAACCACTCTGGTCACGCCTGTTGCTATACGAACTTGAACCATCTCGAGCATCATTTGCTCTGTGCTTCAAGTCGCTGCTGATGACGCTGCTTCCGGCATCAGTTTTTGGTGTCTCTCTTCGTCTGATGCCTACCCTTTGACCTGTCCAGCAAGGGAGGCCCTGCCAGTAGCTACGATAACGCTGGTATAGCTCTCAGGGTCCTTGGCATACTCAAACCCCCTCACCACGATAAGGTGGAGACACCAACGAGGTGTCAGACTATACAGTAGGGTAATTAATGTATTGTGACACGTAGACCCGCTGCTGGAAAACGACCGCGAGATAAGCAAATACACAACAGCCGTTAGTGAGTAACGGCTTCGAAAACAAGCACGACAACAATTTGAAACAGCAACAGAGGAAGAGTGTTTTCTGTGGTGTCCGTACCGAGATGTTATGAGCAGGACAAGTTGGGGAGCTGCTGTCGAGTGGAGTGGAGTGAGTCGCAGAGGTGTTGTAGCTGAGGTCGGGGACAGTTCGTGAACCGAGAGCAAGAGGAACGCCCGCCGTTGAAAGCCGCTACCAAGGAACGGCTAGTGAAGACAGAGAAGACTTTATGTATGCTGTAGTTGCAGTGATCTTTAGAGTGTGTAACACAGTGAGACTGTCCTAGTTATTTGTAATTACGTTCTGTAAGTGTCCAGTAAACCCGATTACGAATCCAAGCCCCCTCTATATTCACTCATACACGTGACAGTAGGATTAGTTGTAAATGGGAGTGGAAGGGAATGAATCATGGCATATCCCAAGGCACAATTCCAAAATTCGCCTGGAGGGACAAAGGACAATCATGATTTCAGTCAGGATACTCGGTATCTCGGTCAAGGTTCGAAACGAGTACCTTCTGAGCAAACGTAACAATCTGAGCCAACATAACTCGTGTCAGATGGGCTGTACTGGATTGAATTCTAACAGCGCAATGCTGATCATAACCTCGGGCTCTAAGCTCGATATCCTGAATGCGAATTGTCGTACTTTGCCTCTACCGTTAAAATCGTGGTTAAATGACCAAAGAATCAATAAATGAAGACAAGGCTTTATTAATGTCAACCACCAACATAACATGATGAATTAAAACAGGATAACGAGTCAATACGATTTTCATCACAATGCCTATAATCGTCAGAGTTGCGGTCTTGTCGCTGATGTAAGAGTATATCCGCCAGCGTTAACTACGGGTAGAAGCGAGTAGCAGTCGTCTAATCAGTTCCAGAGCACTTCTTATGATGAAGCCATTACGGTGTTATGACTATTGTTCCCAACAGCAATACCTCCGAACTTGCAGTGCAATAATTCCTTTAGAAGGCGTGTTGATCCTTCCTCGGGCTCTTGGAGAGCCAATGGGTTCCCTGGTTATCACAGTATTGTAATGTGTGTAGGCTACGCTGGTAAAGTGAATCCAAACGCAAAGAAATGCCATCGGTTCACACCAGGTCAGTGAAGAGTCAGCAGTCTTCGGTTATTCAGAAAGGAAAAGATTCATCCAGTCATTAAATCTACCAAAAATGTTTCTAAAAATCACTATAAATACTACATTTCCATTCACTCTTTGACATCGCAAGAAGTCTCTGTCCATAAGGCCTTCCCTTCCGGCCGCACTAGGCCCTAGGGTTTACTCAGCCTCTTAACAGAAATGAGTACCAGGAATTAATTTAATAATTTTCCTGGGGAGTAAAGCGCGGCCGGCTCGTAAGGCTGACAACCTTACCGCCATCTTTGAGCCAATTGTCTAGTTAATGTGGCACCCTCAACGTCTCACAACCCTATGGGACTTCACGGCCTGTAACAGGGATAGCTTTACTTTTTGCAGATTGGCCCTATTTCAATAGAAGACCTTAAAAGGATTTTCATTATGTATCATCCTCTGTTTAGTTTCTAATGACTATTGTTTAGTTATAACACTCTGGTCGGCATTATAATTTAACTGAAATTAAAGTAATGGTGATAAAAAAGTCCTCTTCAGGGACTTTCAGGATGGCATGGCTGAACCTGCTGAAGTCCAGTCAGTGGCAGAATAACAATTCTTGGTGAGGACAAACAGGTTCGAAATTCGTACTGCTGGAAGTGAAACCTTTCGGATCGGTATAAGAACCAAGGTTCTCATATTCTTCCTAAACCAATGATTTCTTACGACAGTACATCGCGTCGCTTTCCATTTCAACATATGAAGCCGATATAAATGTGCAGTCTCTTACCTGATCTTAACCTCCTTGGACTGCCACTCATTGTGCCTCTCAAAGCTGATGAGGATAGCAGCGATCTCCTGAAAACAAAACAGAAGAATGTTATTCACCAACAGGTATACAATGCATAAGTATCATATCAGAGTGAAAGGGTATTCCTCAACAGTTTGCAGATGTTCATATTTTGTTACGTAAATCACTACGGATAACAATAAACAGTATCTATAGTAATGTAGTAATATGTTTTAAAGGTTTTATAATAGTTCAGAAAGGNGACATGGTGTAATTCACTTAATTTTATGAAGATGAAATTTTAAGATAATGTAAACAAGTCAATATTCTGAGATAAGAGAAATGCCTAGGAAGTATGTTTTCGCCCTAGGCACTTTCAGGAACAAGAGATTAGGAGAACTGTCAACGAAGCTGCGAGGTCACGACGATCAGTCTAAGTGCTCCAGCTACTGGGACGGATTGAAATATAGGCCTTATACGAACACAATAACGATGTGAAGAATTTCAAAATGCAGTCTTAGCTACTTCGCATCTCTGTTATAAAAATGTTTATTCGAAGAAGAACTGTATCAAGCCAGCTTAATGCCTGCTTCACTCAGGTTTCTTGTTGGACTTAAAAAACTTCAATCCTGAAAGCTATATGTTCCTTTGAAAAGTCGGCTGACTTTCACCGGACTATATGGTATCATATCCCACATGAAAGGACTGTTTGTAGCCACTCCTGCGAGAACCTCAAATCCAACATGGAAATATCCATGACAAAGTTAAACAGTAGAGATATTACATAAGAGGAAAGGTCAGTAAATAGTTTACAAATGGAAGTAAAACAGTTGTAATGGATGTAATAGGTTTTCCGTGTGTGTGACTAGGTAAGAGCACAGTCCAGCTTCATGAGAATATGGTAGTAAAAGTACATGCACATATTCAGAGGCTGGTTTCAGTAGTCATCATGGTGACCGTGCTTGAGTGTATAATACGGAAGAGCAGAGTTCCGTTGCGCGTTTTTGTGGGAAAAAGGACTTAATTCAAAGGATATTCATTAAGAAATGTTTCCTGTTTACGATGGGAAGTGTTTGTCGCGTAAAACGGTTCATAACCAGGTCAAAAAAATCCTTTCCAAGGAAGAAGAGGTTGAAATGGAAGTGCGGAAGTAGCTGGGACAACAGTAAGAAGACTTCCGTGCTGCTGCTGCCGACGCACTTGTAAAGCGATGGGACAAATGCATCAACGTTGGTGGAGAAATAAATGTTTTTTTCCCGGTTCGAACATCACATGTTTTGCGTTCTACATGCATTTGTGACTTATTTACTGACTCTCCCTCGTATATATTACATTATACAACTTCTATGTTCAACAACTAATCAAAAGCATACATGTGCGTATCTATACACACACACACACACACACACACACACAGTTATTCTTCCCCATGTTTAGGCCTATGCACCAACCGAAAACCTTTCCAACTAAAATCACAAATTCATACCATGACCGTTCGTTACCAGATTCTTCGTATGTTCTGATACTGGTAATTCCGTATGGTGGCTTTACCACTGAACGCTGTTCGTAGCCTATAGCGGCATCTTCGAAACAGCGTTTCGTAAAGAGGTCCATAAAAATTTGGTAATATTGGAGGTATAATAATAATAATTTATTGATTTACGCCTTGAACTCAACAGCCAGGGGCCAATTACAGTCAGCACGAATACAAAACAATAACATAAAAAATACGGAAAAACAGACAATAAACAATCTAAATCAACAGCAACAACTATGCAGTTAAGGTTAGCAACACATGTAACTGATTGGGCTGTTGGTGCTATTCTCTGTGGAATGTAGTAATAAGTACCCTTACACAGCAATCAGCGCCATCTGTTTAAAGGAATGAGAGCGCCAGAAGGTGATCAGGCGCCATTCCATTTAACCAGCTCCGTCCCAAGCCCTTGGTGATTCAGAGATCTGTGTCTTTGCGTCAATTTGTAGGGGGAAGAACTGAGTTAGTACCAATCGGAGAAAGATATCTCGCTATGCACCTATGAAACTTCAACAAATCAACTTTGCAGGTCTTTGGCCCTATTCCCAGCGATGCGGGCGAGCCGTCTTCTAACAAGGCTATGTATAAGTATAATTTTGCTGGCCCCGTCACCTTTATGTCAACAGTCGTAACCTAGTACATTTCAGTGACAGGTACTTAAACTGAGACTGATGTTTGGAGTGAACACGAGACTGAAATTACTGTTCTGTCGCAACAAAAAACCTCAAAGGTACTAAACGGTAATTGGACACTGCTTGCCGTCTGCTTATTGCTAATTTCTTGCTTGCCTTATTCTTCAACCCTGATGATGGAAGCGATATGTGACTCCGCAACAGACCGAACTATATTGAACTGCATGGCGTTGCAACCTAAAAAATTGTATTTTCCACAGTCATCATTGTGGGAGCATAAAATCCAAAGTAATAAAATAGAGGTTCCCGAATCAAACGTGGGCGCCGATTAACCATAAAATTGGGCGAAAAGACTGGGTAATCATCGTGTGAGTCAATCGGTGAGAACTAATATGAAGAGTTAGTCCACATATTATATTTAGAACAAATTGTCTTCTGACCTGCAAAGTCGTTAAATCATGAAGCTGTGTGGATCTGGTGTTGGGTATGCATACGTATGTCAAGTGCGCCCACGGCTGCAAACCCGCCACCCGTCCCAACGCGACCAAATCAATCCCGTTGTGACCCAGATTTCCGTAAACCTCCTGACCCACTGCATCCTGGACAAAGGCATATGTTGAAAACTTCTCTTTAGCAGATGAACATCGAACAAGCTACAATGTTTCAGCCGATCCCCCAGAACAGGTAGGAGACAGACATGACGCCCATAGTGCCTCACAACGACACGACGATAAGCAGAACTGGACGATTATAATTTGCTCTGTGTGTACATCAATTTTCTTTTCTAAAAGAATGTCTGATGGTACTCTTAGGTTTGTCTCCCACTGGCGCAACTGACTGTACGAAACCGACCGATTAGGTAATTAGGTTTCTTGCTTAGTATCAGGTAAATGTCTTGCGACATCTTATAATTATAAATGCAAAGTTATATAAATATCTCCTACATAAATTTCATGTTGTACAAAAGCATCGTCTTTAGCCACTGCAACATAAATGCAAACAAACCATCTAACTGCATATTAACCTCACTACTGCTGTACGACTAGGGGGCACTTGAGGCACTATGCTACAAACCGGAAGGTCGCGGGTTCAAGTCCCGATGAGGTCATTGGATTTATTTTTTCAGTTGACCTAATCTTCCAGCCGCACTACGGCCCTGGGGTCGGCTCAGCCTCTAACAGAAATGAGTAATTAATTAAATAATTTTCCTGGAGAGTAAAGCGCGGCCGGCGCGTAAGGCTGAAAACCTTACCGCCATCTGTGAACCAACTGTCTAGACATTCTCACAACCCTATAGGCCTTCACGGCCTGTTATAGGGATAGCTTTACTTTTTTTTTCTTTTACTGCCGTACAACTTCACGACTGAAATCCGTTACGAAATCGGCACGCAACTACGGTTTCAAAGAAACTGACGTTTCAATCGCGTCGGCAGGAGAGGTCTCATAAAATGTGATGGGACCGCTGTTAACAAAAAGAATGGCAACTCCTGTAACCGGCTGCGGCAGTGGGAGAGCAATCTTACGTTCCGTTTTACACCCGAGGTCAAAATGCAACGGCAGACGTGCGACTGTCGATTTATTGACAAGTTTTCCGGTACATGTGCAGGCTGAAAAACACTATATATAATATATCGTATTGTGGACGGCCATAGCGTTGCTAAGCAACGGCTCGGCAAAAACCCCTCAACAGAGAGACTGTTTTCTATGGTATCCGCGTTGCGACAATTGCTATGCAATGGTTCGGTAAACACGTTTCAACAACAGAGCCTATGTTTTCCGTGGGGTCCTTGCAAAGGAGTTATCTTAAAACAAACGGCGCTGCAGTTCAGTTCTGAGTTCTGAGTACTCGGTAGAAGATAACCACAGAAAGTTCGTCTGTGAAGACTTGACGTGTGATTATAAGGCTTCATTCATGTGTAATACTTGGAGTGTGTGACTCAGTGAGACTGTTATAGTTTCTGCGTTTTAATTGTGGTACCAGGAGAGGACCAGTGTGCGTGTGCAAATCAGAGATAACGCTGTAGTAAATGTGATTGAGAGATTGTAACCAAAATGCTAATAAATCCAATCATCCGAACTGGAACCCGCTATTTTCGTGACGTGTACCATCTTACACGTGTCAATATACAAATATGGTAGGACGGAGTGGACTACATTCATCTGGACCATGATAGAGACCAGTGACTACGAAGTTCCTTCAGGTTTTACACAACAGCGGGAAATGTCTTGACTTGAGACTTTTGTTGGAATTTCGGCTCGTAGTTTAAATTCGCCTTCGTATAAAGTAGGTGTTAGTATATATGGATCTATACAGACTAAAATAAAACTCTACTGATAGCATTTTGTGTAGACATCTAATGCGAAATTTCGCCGATTTCATTTCAGCTGCGGCGCGATCTAATCTAATTTTGGGATCGTGAGTGTGAATCCCCTCGGGGAATGCGTGTACGCATTTTAGTTTGTTGTCTTATGTTCTGCGCAGACAGACACACTGAAAAGGACCATTCTCCGTTCAAAGAATCCCACTAAATGTCTAAAGAATTCATAGCTTTCGAATTAATTCCGAAACAGAACAGATCCAAGAGCATAATCCATGATAGTTAAAGTAGAAGACTGTATCTTGGACGCTCTACTTGTGCTAATTTACCGCATTGCTGCGTGGACTTCGCTGCTTTTTACGCTGAACAGAATTCCTACCATGCCTAGCGCCCTGTACTTATAGGATTACTACAAAGCCTACCTTCATAGTCTTTGCTTCGTGGGTATAGAATAGAAAATTTGCATTAAATTCCCATTAGATGGTTTTGCATTACCCAACCCATGGTGGGATTTACTCTATGAATAGTACATCAGCACTTGAAAGTATATTACAATGCTGCATAGGCTTCTATATGCTGCTTCA